TGTGAGCCTCCGTGTGAGCCTCCGTGTGAGCTCTGTAACCTGTGCCAGACCTTCCGAATGGTCACGCCGGGTGCTCTGGTACTGCTGAACACACAGATCAATGTATCTGTACTTTTATTTTTTTAAGAGTGTTTTTTTGGGGGGTTGAAGGGATGTTACTGGATTATTTTCCATAACTGATAGGGAAGAGAGAACCTGTTTTCTCTTATATGCAACATTTACCAGAAGTCTGTTGCAGCAAATCCTGTTACTTATTTTTTCATCTTTGACCTGTGATTCAACAACAGAGCTGAACTATTTGCATTTTAATGTAGGCTGGCTTACAAGTATTATTTTGTGTAGCTTCTTTATGTTGCAAAAGAAAAAGATCTAGGTAAGGTCAAGACATATCTTTGTATAGTGTTTAAAAACACTTGTGCTTCTTAAATTAAAGGCTCCTTAATTGTGTAAACGTGTATTTAATTGAACTTTACTGAAATGAGGTTAGCTCCAAAGTGCTCATTTTTACAGCTTTCTATTTTGTTAAGGAATATGTAGGTAGTTCTTGTTATCTCTTAGGCTGTCAGGGTGGGATCAGTAGGGGCAAAAAGAGATGAGGAAAACTTGCAAGCTGTCTGCTGTTGTGACAGGGTTAGATTTGCAAGAAAATGAAATGTATATATATTGTCGCTCCTGAAGGGGTAAACTTTCCCTCTCAAAACACTCACCCGTGCTGCTGTAAGGATGTGTATGGAGTATTTGAACTAATGGAAGCAGCAAGGGAATGGGAACAATCAGTAACTCTAAACAGAAAGCAGGGCTGACTTCATTAAGATGACACTGATACTTCTTAGAGCCTTTGCTCTACTTTGAGAAGGATAATTAATCCATTATTAAGCTGGATTTATCACTGATTTGAAGTTTCTACCTGGAGCTAAATAATTTTTGAGAGACTGAAATAGGTTACTGTGACACTTGCATCAATCCTTCATTGTGTTTGGGACTTGGGGGATGGTTAAGGGACCATCTTTCTGCTTCCAAACCTGAATTTCACTGTGCTGTTCTCAGATGCTGGCAAATTAGGTTCATGTAAAATCAATGCTATGGGGTTTTCTGGCTTACATGGTTCACAGTGTGATAAGTTCTTTGGTGAACTAAAATAAATTCTTAGCTTAAGAAATAATGTCTCAGTTCATGCTCGTTGTCTTTGGTTTTGATCCATACTGATAAAACAACGTAGTTATGGTTTACTGTCTGATTACAAAGTTGGCAACCTATTGTAAGGAAAACTGTATCAGATCTATTGCAATAAATGACTTGGTGCTAGATATATTTTTAATGACAGGGATGTTTTTGGTGCCCCACAGTGGCAGCATGGAATCACCTGATTTCTGCAAAATGTTAACTTTCAAAACATAATAACACAGTAGTTACAAATGCAGTGTTACTATAACATCCTGTATTTCCACAGAAAATCTTTACCATGCAAGAGCAAATTCAGCTGCGTGTGTGTGTCATATGATAGAGTAAAAGCAGAAAATTAGAGTGTATTTTAAGAAGAATTATGTAATTTATACTGCATATGATATTATAAACACTGCTAATCTAAACAGAAAAGAAAACACTTTTTTCTTGCCATTGTAGAAGAAGAACAGGGATACAACCGAAAATGGAAAATCAAAAGGTGCAGAAAAAACAGTGTGGTAAGATACCTAATATAACTTGTCATTTATTATCTGCATCAATTTTATGAAGTTTTAGGAGGCTGTGGTAGGGCTGTCATGGAGTGGTGAGCTGCTGGGGAAATGTTCTTTTTCCTTTTTGCCGAATTTTTGGATTCTGTATTGGATAGCTGAGGGCAAATCTAACGACAGACTTTCGAAGAGTCAATAATACCACCACAAAGTCACCTTTTTTTGCTAATATTTACCCAAATTTTTATTGTATTTAACTTACTTAAGAAATGCCAAACCTTAGAAGTGTTTAAAATATATAATACATGATGTTTGTTGTAAATAATTATCAAGTAACTATTTTTATTATACCCAAAAGACTAAGAAACAGATTTTCAAAGTGTTTTACTTACCTAGGGTTGTATGTAGGTGCCCAGAAAATGCTTTGTGTTAGCTTATTAACCTAACAACCCAATTCAAGATTCTAGCTGCTGTGGTGATTTAAGTCTTTTGTAACTAAATATCCTATAGGAAGCCTTGCTGCTTTGGATTCTTTCCCTGTTCACTCTGTAGATTCAGTTGTATTTTCACAGTTCCGTATTATTCCCTTAAATACACGTAATAAATACACCTTGCAACTGTGAATTTAATGTTTAATAATTTGCATCAAATTTACTAACAGTTACTAGTAATTGAAGGCCAGAAATATTAAAAGGGGGCTGTTACTTTAGCAAAGGAAATAATTCTCAAATAAGAAAATATGAAAAGGAATATTTTTAGGTTAAATATGTTTGTTATGTATAGATGGATATAAGTGGCGTAGCTCCATTTTTTTACTCACTGTTTGTTTGGTTTTTTTTTAAATACATATACTTACTACATTTTTTGGACAGGTTTACTGTAATACTAAATAGATTTAATATAAAGAAAAGATAACCATTTACATGAAGTTATTTTGTGTTTCTTCTTAGATCTGAAAACAGATCTGAACTTACTGCTTGAATGCCTTAAATATCAGATGGACTGCCCTGTATCTCAGAAAGAGGCTTTGATCACTATTTATTCAATTTGTCAACAAAACAGTAAGAAGCATTTTACCTTAGAAACAACACAATTTATGTTTGCAATATACATTAAGAGGCTGGTTGTCACTGTAAAAAAATCTCTGAGGGGTATAAGGCTTGAGAAGTTATAAAATATTGGAAGATTTTCATTTGACAGAAACAAAAGCAAAAGTTTAATTTTTGTTCTTTTTTCTGTTATAGGTGAAGCAAGTGAATATTTTCGAGAAATTGGTGGTTTGATGTTTATAAATGATCTTGCAAAGTCAAGTGCTCATTGCATAGTAAAGGAAGCAGCTTTATTTACATTAGGAATTATAATAGAGAGTAATGGTAATAATTTGTATTTCTGAGTGAGCTATGATCCCATGTTATTACTTCTGCTTTGAGCCCATAATTTTTTATCTCAAAACATGAGATTACAAGATTATCAAGTCAAGTGAGGGGCAGTAAAGGTGCCAGTGTTTCACTGTCCATCCCCATGTTTGGAGAAGTACCTTGCTGACTTGTGTGCACAGCATGTCTGTATGATACGAGACAGCTGGACAGCTCCTCTTCCTCAGCAGCGAGTGTTGAATGACTCATAGGATTGTTCCACAGTTTGCCGAGGTCCTGGTTGGTTTAGAACTGACTATGAGGGGAAGCCCTCAGTCACTGTAGTCCTGTTTTGTCTCCATTCACCACATGTTGGATGCAAGTGAGACTCTAGCTACTATATTACAGAAATAATTTAGGATTATGAATGGTTTACTTTAGGACCTAATGGGTTTTATTTTCTGTTTTCAGTTTATTGTCAACAAACTTTGTGTACTTCTGCATTGTTTGAAGACCTCATTTTATTTTTAATTAACAAGGATTCTGGTGTGAATTTGAAAAGAATGTCTGTTTATGTCATCTTAGTGCTGGTTTCAAATAATAGTAAGTTGGAGTTTTTTCTGCTTTATAACACCAATTTCTCTATTTGCCAGTCTGCAGTACAGAAATTTGGAACACTTGATAAGTAATGTTTTGGTAAAGTTAATTTGTCAAGATGAATGGTTGCATGTAACTGAACCTGAAGTGTGTAAGTAGATCGCAGCTTACTGGGATTTCCTGAAATAGCAGCAAGAATTTTAGTTCTAAAAATGAAATTCTAGTTTAAGAAAAAAATACAATGCAAACCAGTAGTTTCTGACAATGTATAGGAAAAAAATAGACATAAAAAGTAATTGAACATTTTGGCCAGTGTGTTGGTGTGATTTTTTGTGTTTATTTTTGGGGGGATGTATGCTTAGGAAATGGAAATACAATGTATATATGTAAATTAAACTTGACATTAAGATTTTGTTTCAAGTTGCATGTGTCTTTGGAGTCTTGTATGTGTTCTTTTTTAGAAAGTGGGCAAACCTATGTCAGAGATACAGGCTGCATTAGTCTTCTGCTACAGTTATTCAGGTAAACAAACAGTTGCAATTCAAACAGAAAAATTATAGACTATTTAGGACTTACGTTTGCTTGACTGTTTAGGATTTGTTTGCCTTGTTCTTAACAGAACAACTCTTTCCACATCTGAGGTGAATCTGTCAGATGAAAATACCAATCAGTGCTATCAGCTGTGGTCTTCAGTCTGCAGTACTCTCTGTGCCTGTGTTAACAATCCTCAGAATGGTAATTGTGGAAAAAAAAAAGTTTAAAGTATTTCTCCAGAGTGACAACAGTTTTAATTTTTACTGTTCAGCCACGGTTTTGTATTACATTTTCATTTAGGGTTATTTGTTTTTACTTTTACAGAAGACAATCAAAACATTTGCTGTTCAGTTTTTCCATATGCCAAAGCGTGGCTCGAAAGCTGCACAGAGCCCGAGATAGTTCGTCCCATTTGTTCGTTTGTTGGTCTCACAGTTGCAAATAACAGTAAGTTCATCTCAAGCTTTAAATAGTTTTTATTTTATAAAAGCAATTAGATAGTTAAATGTTTGATTTATTTTTGTTAGTCTCTACGAATTCATTTGCTGTTCTTCCAACTTTTACTCTGAAAACTGTTTTCCACCCTCTTTACTTACACTGCATTGTGCTTAAGTGCACAAATAGCCACAAACTGGCTACATTGAGTACGGTCAGTACACACTATTTGGAAGCTTTTTTCATTAAAAGTGTTTTACAAATATAATTTGTTGTTACATCTCTGGAAACAATGACTTGGGTAGAACTCAGGCATAATGTTTGCCGTTTGTATGCGTGTATTGGGGCCATGTGTTTCCTGTAACTTTCATAGGATGATTACCACATTTCTCAGGATTAATATACATCCAACCTCATAATGATTAATACATAAACAGAAAAACTGTGATAAAATGCTGAAACAATTTGCAACTTGTATTACTTAAGACACTTTTTTTTTTTTCACTAAGCATATGTACAGAAATATTTTGTTTCTGTTGGAGGATTGGATACATTAGCTAAAGTTCTCGTCAAGCTAATGCATGATTCCTGCATGAGTCACTCCAACACAAAACTGGCAGTAGTAGTAACAAAGACTCTGGATGCCTGCATTGCTAATGACTGTGAGTGAAAAAACTGATATATGGTCATTTTAAAATGCAATTTTAAAAGTCTGGTTTTGGTGGAAAAGTTACATGAATGGATGCTAAAAGACAGTTGTTATATACATCCCATATTGCAGATTTTTTAAAATTTAAATGTGTGTATGGAGAATGATTCAGTTCATGTGAGGCGAGTTACTTTCCCATTGTTGCTAAAATAAACAGTGAAATTTAAACTATACTGAAAAATAAAATGTTAGAGTTTAGGTTTGTGTAAGTAAACCTGAGAACTGGGCGTGGCAGTCAGTTTGGATCCTGGAGTGAGAGCTGTGTTTCTGTAGGCCTGTGCCTAAATTTATAAGCTTTGTAAGCTTCTGGAGGCTTTAGTAACTCAGGCTGGAGCTGAACAAATGCGGTGGGTCTGCATAATGCATCTTTGCTCTGATTTACTGTTTGGATAGTGCTGTCCTAATAATGTCTTTCTGTATTTCATCAGAAGATTTAGAGAAACCTGTGAGCCTGATGAGTCTGTGCTGTTGGCTATAGTTATTGTATTTGACACTTCTGTTGTAAGTGCTTGCTAATAGAAGTTCAAAAAAGCTTAAAAGCCTATACCTGCACTGGTTTTGAGCCTAGTTTCAAAGAAGCTGGTGTGTGACAGGATGAGGTTTCAGCATGTATGTACTAACAGTGGTGTTCCCAGTTTCAGGAAGAGGTTGTCCTCCACCAGAAACATTTCTAGCTCTTTCTGTGGCAGGTAGACTATGTGTCAAACCTTTTTCTACTCTTTCTTGCTGTGTTCTGGAACTGACAAAGGGTATGGAGAAACTCAGCAGAGGTCTACTGCACTTGCACATTGCAAAGCTCTTCCTTTCTTTATCAGATCTTCCACCACATCTGTGTACAGCACACTCTGGGAGAAAGGGCAGTGTTGGATATAGAGTAGCATGGGCAGAATTATTGCACTAGGAGGGACGTGGTAATTTGAGTGTTAAAATAAAAGAGAAGAGAAGGACTGTGTGGGCTCAAGGCTTTTAGAGGTCTTTGTTAGAGTTCCCTTGTAAATCAGCATTTTATATTTGGATGATGCCTATATACTTACTATCTAGTTTATTTTTCTTCAAATTATTTTTATCATAACAGCTGCCATAGGTGTTGTCCTGACAAAGTATCACACTGTGTCAGAGCTACTGAAGCTGCTGTCCAATGACACTCTGGATGCAGGAGAAAAAATTAGTATTATTCTAACCATTGGACATTGTACTGAAGTTTGTGGTAAGATTTTTTTCTTTCTGTCAGTTTCTACTAAATTCTCATGCACTATTTCAATGGTGTCATTTCATCAAGACTGGAATATGAGGGAAAGTTCTATTAAATTATATTAGCATTCAGATAAAATGCTTGCTATAATGTTCCATCTTTAAATTTTAAAACCTGTTAAGAGTTAGTATCGTTTAAGAGCTTAGAAAAAGTAGACTGTTATGTAAGAATTCAGAGCTGGGCTTAGGTATCACAGGGCAAAATTCATCCAGACTTGAAAACTACTACAATACATACATACTAAATAAGCATTTTTGAGCTCTATTTTAATGGCTTTTGCTATTTACAGCTTCTGTCCACTCTGTACATAGCTATTAATTTTTTAATTAGTATTGTTTTTGAAGTAACATAAGCACTAGGTAACTGAAATGTTTTTGCCAGGCTGTAGTACAAGCAAACAGAATGGGAAGTTGTGACACACTGATCAGTTTTATACTACTGTTTTTTTTTTTCTCATGTATGTTCAGAAATGCAAGAAAAAGAGATTATGGTAAAAACCCCTGATTTATTGCCGTACTCTAAATGTCAATAACAAGTTCAATAATTAGCTTGATAGGTTATAAATCTGATATTTTAAAAGACACTTTTTCATGAAGAATTAATTGAAACAAAGCTTAATGGAAAATGTCTTTCAAATAGAAATATGATTAAACCAACAGAATAAAAGTTTCTCTTAAAATGTCAACACTGACAAAATAATAATGTTTCATCTTTTGTTGATTTCTTTGGTTTATCAAGTTTAGACAACAAAGAACTATTTTTAGAAAGTTGTCAGTTTTATGAATACATACTGCAAATGAGATCACAATAAAAACATTTAGGTAATTACACAGTTAATTAGGAGGAACAGATTAGCTAGATCAGGGTTAAACTACTAATTTTACTAGAGTATTGCTAATTATAAACTTTAAACTTTTGATATTTCTGCATCTCAAGGCTCAGGTAAATGTTGAGTATATAGTTTAGGAGTATATGCCAGAAGAAAAGAAATACAGAAGTCACAATTCAAATATTTTAGGTGACAATTAAATGAGTTTGGATCTCCATCACATAATTTGTCTCAGTCCTCCTTTGGTTTTCTTACAAGAACTCTAAGCTATGATCAGACCATCCTGTGTGATCTAGAGCACTTCTGCTGCAACCCGGGCAGTAGGTCATTACAGCACGCTTGGGTCCAAAATGAAAATCTCTTTTTCAGAATTTCCCTGGAAGTTACCTGTATTAGTTTCTAAAATTACTGTAAGATTGTGTATGAGGCCAAAACCAATCTGTTTTCCTTTACAATGTCCTGTTTTAGAAGAAAACCAGTGTGAACTGCTCCAGAACAATGGTCTTCCACTTATGATTCAGGTATTAACCGAGTCTCAGGATGAAGAACTAAACAAAGCTGCTACTTTTGTGCTGCAAAACTGCAAACAAATGAGTAAGCTTACTGTTACTGCTTTAAAAATTAGGGAGGCTATTTCCATCTTTAAGTTCTGTTGACTTTCTAAATTATTTTAACTGTAGCAGCTTTGTAATACATTCTGTGTATTACAAGATGTTTGTTTTCTGCAGAAAAGTTGCACATTTGCAACCATGGACTGATTATGGCATTTAGGCAGAAAAAATAAAAGTAAAAATTCCAGCTATGTTGCAATAATGCATTTGTGAGACCTGTGTGTTTAGGGCCAGTTCATGAAAGCTTTACCATCTATAAATTATGTGCAAAATATTAACATTGTCATTTAACATGCAATTGCTCTCACTCCTGGGTATGTACCATTGTATATAGAGATTAAACCAGTAGATAATCAAGCCCAAAATCACTGTAACTACAATTACTTTGCAATATTAAAAAAATAGATATTTATTTTTAAAGTAGGGTGTATTTTGAAGTATCCTGTTTGGTTTTTTTAATTAACTGTATAATACTACCAAAACCACTTTGTCCTTTAAAGCATGGAAGGTATTATACAATTGATAATTACTAAAAAGCACATATCTGCATTTTTGTACTGGGAACAACTGAGAGTTTTGTTTAAGATAGAGGATATGTGGTGATTTGCAGTGTCCATTTAATGATAAAGTAATTTTTTAGAGCACAGCATCATTGTGTAAACAGCTTATTAAAACTATAATTATAAGCTCACCTCTTGTAACTGCAGTTTATATTTGAAGTGTATTAACATTTATGGGTAAATTTAAATTCTTATATAAAACTTATTAGTCAGAGGTTATATTGTGCATTAAATTATTTGGGCCCTCAGCCTACTAATATATAATACATACTTATTAAGGTGTTCATTGATAAAATTTGTAAGTTAATATTGTTTTATATTTTATAAAGCTGAAAAATTGTCCCTGAAAATAAATGATAATTCATTAAATGTGAACAATGCAGAAGAGCTGGATGTGCAAGTCAGAAAAAGAAGTCTACAAGACTACTGGAAGAAAGCAAAAGAAATTTTACACAGAATAAACTTGATTGAAAAAGAACATTATGAGGTTGGCTTATTTACCAAAGTAGGATAAAACTAAGCAAATCTTTCCAGAGTTTAGGGAGAAATAGAAAGTAAACCCTTAAGATCACTTCAGTGGGAGCTAGAGAAGTGGGGAAAACATTGAATGTGTGTGAAACTACAACCTGCAGCTCTTACCATTACTGTATGACATACAAAGTTAGAATTATGCAGGGTGATCAGAGAATACAAGCATCTGTTTTTATCAAGCATTTCAGTTTATTATGAAAACTGGTTTTCTACAAAATGTAGATCATTTGGGTTGGAGAAACAACAGTTGGATTTATTTTTAATTACCGATCATGTGTAGATGTGGCACTCAGGGATATGGTTTAGTGGGCATGGTGGCAATGAGTTGACAGTTGGACTGGATGATCTTACAGGTCTTTTCCGACCTTTTCTGTGATTCTGTGATTTGAACCTGTAATTTTAATATTTGCATGCATGAAATGCCCATGACTGTACAGCTGTGACAGCAGAGATGATAATGGAAGATGTGAACGTAGGCTGAAATATAAAGTTGTTTCATATTTTCTTTGTGGTCTAGCTACTTGGTATCTTTGGGCATGGAACAGCAAGTTTTTGAGTTATTTATCTGGATCTTAAGTTTTAATTACATCTTTTCATTTCTATAAGTGCCTTGTATTAGTAGCAAATCCATTGCTTCAGCCTGGAATTAATAACTTAACTCCCCCTTCAACACCTTCAGCAGTACTTCCGTCTTGTTGGCTCCCAACTCGGGGGTTTTTGAGACTTCTCTGGAATTTGCTTTACCTTCAGAGTTAGACTGGTCAATCCTAGATAATCTTGTTACTAGATTTATTGAACATTTTTATAGAACTCGTATAGTCACTAACTAGTATTTTTCCATACAGGAAAAAGTGCAAGGAAGAGTATTTGTAGACAAATCTTCAGAAGCCAATATTGAAGCATCGAAATATCATGAAGTGAATCCTGCTAATGCACAAACTTATATAGAAGGAACACACAAAGTAGTACATTTTCCACAGTTGACTTCTAAGTTGGGTGTTCAAGTTCATGCTCCATCTGTAAATTTATCTCCACTGAAAAATGAAATAGTGAACACCATGGATCCAGTAAATGCTTCTACTAGACAAAGTCAACAGAGTAATATTCCACGTAACAACCTGCAAACAGACCGTGTACTTCAGAGTCACGGTATAAATGAAAAAACTGCTTATGTAAAAAATAATTCTATTCTTCAAGTAAGGTAAGTATCTTACACTCAAGGAGAAATACTAAGTTACTTTTTCTAGTAATTTAGTAGTTTCCAAACTGAATGTCAGACCTTTAAATCATCTGTTACTGCCTTTTTCTCCTAGTGAGAAGACATAGCCTTTTGGTGGTTCACTATAGAGAATATTCCAGGGGAGTGTTTTTGACATCACAGATCAAAGATTATAGACATTGTAGCGATAAAAGTTTCTGACAGATTGTGTAGAGAGCCTGTTACAGACCATGTTCTAATGCCTTCAGCATAGTGATGAAAAAGCATCCATAGTTTTTGCCTCAAAATTCTCAGTGAGTCGGTAGATCAAGATTTGACGCATTGGTTTGGATGAAAACACAAAGATTTCTGTAATATGCACTTACTAGGAAAACAGCAGGTAACAGAACTGCTTGGCAAGAAATTGAAATCAGAGTGCCTACAAACTAGGGAAAAAAGCTAGGGAAAAAAAAACTAAGGAAAAAACTGCCCTCCAGCTTTTCTCCTGTCATATTCAATTGCTTCCCTGCATGGGAAGAAAAAGATACAGCCTGGTTTAGTCATTCACTGTTCTCTTGCTCGTTACTCTCACGCATATGCTTATTTTCCTGTTTTTCTTTTGCTTCTTTTGATTTTTCTTTCCTGTTGATAAACAAAAAATTAATTGTAGGCAACTTGCAAGGATAAATACAGATTCCATGATCTTGAATTTATATCTGGCATATCCCTCAATGCAGGCAATGAGAGAGTATGAACAAAACTATGTTTCTCCTTTTTTTAAGTTCCACATTTTTATTGTGCTTTTTTAATGTGGTTGGCTGCTCCTGTGCAGTTTTCTTGCATGCATTATATTATAATTTTGCAACTACCACAGAAATTACCAAGAGCATAGGTTATTTTCTGTGGTACGTTCAGGTGAATTTTGCTTTGCTACTGGTTAGTGTATTTCCACACGGCTTCTTTATTTGTTGTTCTGACCTCTGAAGCACAAAACTATTAAGGAGTTAATTTTTTTGGGAGGGAGAAAACCAGCTCCCTTGCATATGTATTTGTGTGAAAACAGGAGTTATCCAAGCATAACCATGGATTAGGCTCCTTGTTCCTGGAACATTGAGGTAATCAATGACATAGAAAAATGCACGATCACCTTATCATGGGATGTGTTGGTTGCATAAAAGTTAATCAGTGTAAGAGAACAAGAAAATCAATTACTTTTTGGAGCAATTGCTACATCTGAAGAAAGCTGCAGTATTTTGAAGACTTTGTGAAAGTTTTATGTGTGCTAATTCATCTTTACGTGAATCAGAATTGCAAATGTATCTGGAAACCAGCATCCCTTGAAAGCACTGCATTCCAAATGCTGGAACAGCACTGCAAAGAATGCTAATCACAGATCTCTGGTAAACAGATTTCTAACTCACAGTGATTACATGCTGGATACTACCAGCCCAGTAACTTGGGATAATTAGAATCAATTTTCTAGAGTTTTATCTTTTATATATTTAATATGTTTTGCCTTTGGAATATGTGTATTAATTTATGGGTAAATGTTGTGAAGTTTGATTTTAATTTTTCTTTAATTTGTTTACATGTTCACGTTTTGATCTTCCCAGTGAACACTTATTTAAACAACCAGCAGAGACTGTTAAAAATATGAAACAGACATGCACATCAGGTACAAATAGCTAAACATACTCCTTTCTTAGATAATTTTGTTCTTAGTGAGATTTTATCAGATGTTATGTATCATTAGATGTACATTAGAGAACATTAACTGTTTGCATAGTTTTGGAATTTATACAAGTTTACCAGGAGAATATTTATTCTGCTTTCCTTCTAATACATATTTTAGCTTTCTTCTTTTAATTGAGTTTAACCATTCAAATTAATGTATCACAGATAAATGTTTTAAGTCTAGTCTGAATGCAATCCATGCTGAATAATGAAAGCCATTCACAGAAAATGCACACAGATGCTGGTTTTGTTCTGCACTTGTACGACTGGGGCTGGAACCTGCCTGTGAGAGTAACTTCTGCCTGAAGCTATTCCTACATCTTGAATATGTGTTTAAGATAAATGTTTCAAATTTGCATTGATCTGCTTAGTCTGATACATTTATTTCAGAAGTGGGGTCTGTTCAATCAAATCTTTATTCATAATTTAATTTTCTGTTAATTTATAAAAATTATAGTTACTCATTAGATCAGTGTTTGCCAGAATGGTAGCTTTACAGGTGACCAAGCTGCTCTCCAGGTTTATGGGGTTATTTTGCTGTGTTCAAGTTGAATTAATATGCTTTGGGAGAGTGATGAAAAAACTCTGAATTAAATGTAATTATTCTGGATTTACAAATATGTAAATGTGATCCATTTAACTTCAGGGATTTCATTTGGATTTTTTTGCTGTCAGGTAAAATAAACTTTAATAACCTACAAATGGAAAATACAATTGAATATAGGTATGCTGATACATGGTTATCACAGCAAAAGAGAGGCTGCATTTTCTTAGTGGATTTTTTTCCTTCCTAATTTAGATCAACTTTCATTCTACTCAAAGATAACCAAGGAAGAAAAAAGTACTTCAGCTGTATCTGCATCCCATAAAATGGCAGATTTAAGGTGTTTAGGTAAATAGTATCTTAGGTCTTTCTTTCCTGAGTCCATAAAATAAACCTTAAAAGAGTCAGCAATGCAGTAGGGGAACTGACATCACAGAAATTTTAACTAATCTATTAGATTGCCTATTACGTAATTCCCAACTGTTTCCTTTCCTTTTTCTGCCCCTAAAATAAAATATAAATATTGAAATGAAACTTACATCTTCCATTTTTGTCTATGTATCTCTTCTTAATGTGAGTTTACTAACAAACAGAATATACAACAAAACTGGGAAGTAAAATTGTTGATCGTAGTGATGAGCAAAATAAAGCACTGGACACTTTGATGGCTTCTGTAGCATTTATACTTGCTGTTTCTACAGTACCCTATTTTTTTTCCAGGTTGTACAGCAGGAGGACTGTCCTTCAATAGTAAAACCTTTACCAAGATGTTGCAAAGTTGCCGATACCAGTGTGACCATCACAAAGTCATTCTGGAAGCTGAAGAAAGATATAAAAAGGAACTTCGCAAATTGGCTGTTTGTAACAACAGTAGATGTGCAACTTATGAGAGTAATTATGGCTTTTTTTTTTTAAGTAGTTGCAACTATTGTTTTAAATTGTATTTAAAATTCTGAACTTTTTTTGGCCTGATTCCGATTGTCCTGCTCTTGTAAACTCATTCATTTAATTTGATTTACGTGAGATCAGAACCAGCCACTTTTGTTTTGAGGACCTTCTGTATTTCTTGGTAGTAGTGATACATCCTCATTATAGGCTTTGATGACACTCTGTCCTGTTTGCCAGTTAGTCAAGTACTAACGGAAGGAAATATATTGAGTTGAAATAAGTGTGAATGGATGTATGACGTCATAAGGTAAGTTTGTTCTAAGACTTCATACTCAGGGATGTAAGAGGGTTATAATTCTCAGTTAATGAAATAAAAGCACATCCTATACCTCTCTGGTTTAAAGGAGGCATTTTGAAAATTAAATAGTTATTACTTACTGGCATTTGTACTTATGTCTATCTTATATTTTCCAGAAATACTGCTGACACCAGTGAAGAAGGAAAGACTGCGTACAGAAATACCAACTTTTAGGAGCAAAATGGCTAGTTTCCAAAGTACGGGCTTGGTTTGGAAATTCATGCAAAAAGCCCTTACTGTCCAAGTAATTCTTTTGCAGGACTTTACCACCAGGGGCTGTGGATAGGAAGTTATGGTATTTTTTCTGTGGATTCCATGAAAAATCTGTATATTAATAGGCCAGAAAATGTATATTCTATAATAATGAAATTGCGTTATGCACATTAGTTCGCAACGACGTTCTCTGGCACTTGCTTTGTAGATACTGCTTTCCTGTTACTTCCATGCCAGCTGCTATTTTTCAGTTTTGTGGCATTAATGTTTAAAATGGAGAGCTGTAGTCAGGATCAGAACACAGTACAGTTGCCTGTTCCTGGGTTCAGCATCACTGTTATACTGTTATGACCACGTTATCCTATTATACCTGTTTCTGTTCCTGCTTGGAGCTCTGCTAAGGACTTGGGTCTCTGTGTGCTAAACAGCTAAAAGGGTAAACCTGAATGTATGGAACAAGTAACTGAAAACAACCTACCAGAAAATTAAGCACAGGCAATCTGTTTACCTGTCCTGTATTATGAGGTGTTGAATACGATGTTATTAACAAGGTAGAGATAGAAAAGTGAATATAAATTTTGCGGTGCAGTTTAGGATCCCTGTGTTTACAGAACCATCATTGTCCATAAGAACTGGTATTTTTTATAATACACAACTATCCATTTGCAAATAGCAGAATAATATATATTTTACAGTATTTTATTCCGTAATGTAGCAAAAAAGTTAATTGTTTATATTTTTTTTCCTTATTCTGCATATATAATTTTTTTTACATAATTCACAAGGAATTTTCTTCAGAATGTGGTGTTTGTGAGTACATCCTGCAGAGCTCCAGCTACAGTCATACGTTACCACATTCGTCCACTAGTAACCAATACTGTTTCTTGTGATTGATGACCAGAAGTTTTAAAATAGGCTGAAGCAGCTCTCTAAATCAGTACTTAAATTCTAAAGCATTAATATTTCTTCAAAAAACATTATATTTTAAAAAATCAGTCCACCCATCAAGAATTTACTTTTAGTTTCCTATTTCCAAAAACCTTGTTTACATTGTAATTTTACTTAATTAATTTCCTCCAGATTCAGAAATGAATTAATTTGGCTATGATAACCATGGAGGTCTTTTAAATTTTTTATAAAAACCAAACTATTTCATTTCAGAGCCCATTACAGTAAAGTATTACCTTTATCAAGTAAACATATTTCTGAAATAAACTGAATTTTCCAGTCTTTCTTCCAAGACTAGATAGTAGTATGGCTCAAAAGATGTTTCTCTTAAATTTTAATTCCTAAAACATGACTTGTGTTTTGTGTTATTTTTAAGAAAGACGCATAATGTTCTATTGTTTGGGTTTTTTTAAGGTATTCTTTTGACTCCAATTAGAAAAAACAAATCGAATACTTCAAATAGAGATGAACGTGGTAAAAATACTAGGTTGACTGATGACTATAACTTGATACCTACGTATGAAAACTGTGAGTATTACCAGAAAATTAATTCTGTAATAAGCATAACTTAAAGGTCAGGGCATTGAGAAAAGTACCTGTGCTTGCTATTGGACACAAGTGGCTAAGAAATTAAATAGCTATGTTCTTGTACCTTCAATCATAGTGTTATTGATGTTTGAGTTAATTCCTATTATTTGCTCATTGCTTCCAATGCATAAATAATCCTCATGTGTTAATGTCAATAATGAGAAAAAGATCTAATGAAAATGAGATATTACGAATAAAGCAATTCTTACATATTCAAGTTAATTAGAGGAAAAGTTCCTTTACAACACCATATTCAGTTTAACAGTAGATTTCAGTTAGTTTAAAGCAACTAAGAGGTGGCCTTGTTCACAATTTTGTAGCTTTCAAAAAACCCCAAAATGCTAACTTGAAGAGAAAAAGAGTCAAAGAAATGTGCATCCGGGAATGCCAGCGCTTAAAAGAAAATTGCATATATTCGCTTGACAAAGATAAGGTTAGTTATGCAGAGCCTAATACACTCACTTATTTATAATATCCAAATAAAATCACTATGAGTTGTATAATTTCCTTTTAAGTCACCTTTAACAGGCACCTAGTAGCAAAGTGAACCTTATTAAAAAGATTGTCCTCTGTTGATTCTACTCCAGTCATACTGATTTATCCCTGAAATGAGTTAAGCGTTTTTCAACTGACAGTCCTTTCTGAATAATGGGTATGGAGGTAGGCTTTTTCCTGCACTAATGAAAATTTGCATAGTATAGAAATAACAGAAGCCAAAAGGAATAGGTGTAGGCATGACAGAAATGAAGGTAAAGGTCATGGAAAAATACTGTATTTCATTAAGTGTGTAACAGTGAACAAACTTTGAAGAACCATTGTTACCTTGAGAATGGTTCTTACCTTTAGAACTACTTAAGGTTACACTGTCAGTAATAATGCATAACTTCTAAATGCAAAATAGTATGTAAATTTACCTAATTTTTAATTACACCAAAACAAATATTTGCAGAACGATGAAGTATGTCCCCTGGATGTGAACACAAGAACTTTAAACAAGAGGAGAAGAAGAACCCGAAAAGATTTCACAACTGAAGAAGTTAACAGTCTTTTAAATGGAGTAAAAAAAATGGGTAATCACTGGAATTTAATTTTGTGGTCTTATCCATTTCAGAAAGGACGGACAAACGTTGATCTTTCCAAGAAATACTACAGATTACAGTTGCAAGTAATAATAATTTAATTTTTTACTAATCATATGTGCTGTCAGCTATGTTTTCAGCTTTTGCCCTTGAACTGGCTTGCAAAAAAAAATAAAAAAGAATATCAGGATTTGCAGCCCGTGGGATTGTGCTTTGTGTCAGTTCAGTGCTGTGCACACGAAGCATTAAAATGGTCTCCGATGTAATTCAGTTGGGGCTTGTGCTTGGGGAGAGAGAACTAAACTGGGAAAATATTAGAGCGCCTTTGAACCATCCAGTGCCACCTGATGGGATACAAAGAGAATTTCAGTTATGGACTCTAAATTAATCCCTGTTCATTAGAAAGTTTCTATTTTATCTGCTGAGTCTCTTTTCTGATGATCATTTGTGAAAATCTCTGGCAGTTTTCACCATGTCTAATATATCCACTCCTTACACAGAGATCCTGTCTGTGGATGGAGTAGAGAGCGTCTCTGCTGTGCTTTGGATATGTGTGGGAGTGTTTAGTGGAAAGTGTTCTTGTACCAAAAAGTTTTCTAAAATTGTGCAGTTCTATGCCAACATTTGTCTTGATAGTTTCTCTTTTATCTCTATTTTATAGGGGCAAGAAAAAAACAAAGATTATCAGTAACATCTTTTAAGAGTATTCTGGATTTTGTTGCAGAATGTTGAAGAACAGCATTTTTAACAGTGAGGTATTGTCACAACAATGGCGAGCCCTTGGAGAACTTAGATTGGCTTGGACTCATGATAACATTCACTGACAGAGTTGTTGGGCTTCGTAAATTTAAATTACATGTAATCTGAGAAGTTGTTTTTTTTTTAAAAAATAACGCTAATTTAGCTAACAAAATCTTTATCAGTAAAATCTATGGGTTTTTTTAACTTGATTTAACCTTTTTGAACATTTGATTTATGGAACATTTGATTTGGCTTTTTGTTTGAATTTTTTATAGTTTGCTTTATGCTATTTGTAAGAAAAGGCTATATTGCTAAAAATGAGTGGTTTATGTCAGAAACTGATAAATGTTTACGTTTTGTGTCTGACTTCGTTTCCTCTTAATCAATGAAATGTTTAAAGCAGGTAAAACATTTTGCCATGTGTTTTATGTTCTGTATGTACAAAAAAATATATCTATGACAGAAAACACCAAATGTAACATCTAAACACTGATGCACATAGCAGGCAAATCTTACACTGGCGCAGTAAGTGAATGGAAATAGAAACCCTGTGGGTATGTCGGAACTTCTGGGGAGAAGATGTCGTTGGTGGTTCAGCTGCAGTATTTCTTGGCTGGTATTAATGACTGGGATGACATTCCTAGACCTACTCAAAGTACTTGCTGTTGAATTAAGTAGAATTGCATTCTACTGGTAGAATTCTACAGGTACTGGTAGAATTTGGCTTCTTTTTACAGTTGGACATTTTTTGGTGTATTACTCAAGTAAGTGAGCAGAACCAGCATTTCTGCTGATTACAAAATTTTTATAGAAAGCTTCAGTGAAAACCTTAGTAATTTGATTTTTCAGTGATAGCCTTAGTATTCAATTTTTATTTTTTATCTTTTCTGATAAAGGAATGGTTAATTGATAGTTAATTTACTGTGGAAAAAGTTTAGTTATCTTACTAGCACTAGGTTTTCACTACAGTATAGCTTAAAAGCTTAAAAACAAGGCAACCAAAAACTGAAAGTCTTGCAGTAAAGGTGATGCCAGTGATATAATAAATGGTCTTCTAATATTTTCAGGTGTTACAATGGTTTTTGAATTATTAAAATATTCAAGCATCTATAAAAGATGTCTTTGAAGGGAGCTGTTCAAAGCAGCACGGGTCAATATTGGCACGTGTGTGTGCAGAATATGAGCCCAAAGGACGAACGAGGAGCGGTATGCACAGCGGGGAGATTTTGGTCTGTTAGGCACTTTCTCTGAGGACTCAGATGCTGGTCTAGGCAAGCTGCTCTTTCATCTGTTGATTTAATGGGTATTAGTAATCCATATTATTCTGGCATATATATATATATATATTTATATATTTCAAGTGGAGAAAAGATGTAAGACGTAAATCTTCACTTGACACAAAGTCAGGATATCACAATGCTGATGATTTGCCTAATCTTAGGTATAATTTAGAGTGGAAAGGACCTCTGGCAGCCATAGTCTAATCTCCTTCTCGGAGATATTTTCCTCTCATTTCAAAATTAGACAAGTTCTGAAGATCCTTGAGGATCAAATTTGTGAGAGGGCAACCTCTTCTGGTGCTTAAACTAATCTGGTAATCCACGTTGCTGAAAAAGACATCACTAAAACATTCCTGTATAATCCAACAGGGAAGCAAGCAGCAACCTTTGTGTGAATTTGTGCAAGTTAATTAATCTTTCTCTCTCCTTTTGACTGTACACTCTTGATAATCATATTAATTTTCTTGCATAAAATGCTTTGAAATCCACATGTAATGGGCATCACAAAAATACAAGTGCATAAGAATAATTAATGTCATTTTTAGGCTGTTCACCAAGCAGAACTGACTGACAGATGACACAGGAACGCATGTTTATCAAACACTGGAGCTCGGGTTGTAGCTTTATTGGAAGAACATAATTGCTGCCGGTGTGTAAGGACGGGGGGGGCAGGTAAAGCTGGCGGGAGCGGGAGATAATCTCCATCGGGCAATTCCCTCTACGCGCCTCCGCTCCTGTGCAGCGCGGCAGGAGCAGGGGCCGTGGCAGCAGCTCGCTGACAGACCGAGCTCAGGCCGGGACCGTTCCCGGCC